CTGAGGGTCATGAACCGTATTTAAGGGTTAAGGTGTTCGTGTCAGATTCGCTCATGTCATTATTTGTCGGGGCAATCAAAACACCCACCATACAACGCTGTTTTGAATTCTGCTCCATGTGCACGTTAACTAACCTGGCTGCGTAACGTCATGTGTTCGTAATTCTTTCTGACACTGTCAAGGTGGCATAATGAGTGAAATAAATAGATATAGAAGTGTGTTCACCGCAGATCAATCCCAATTATCAGTGCTTCATATACATTTGGATTTCTCAATAAGGTCGTATTCGAATCACCGACATAAAAACTGACGCTGAAATCCTAGTTATGCTGTAATCTACGGAGATGTTTGGCTTTTGGTAAGAAATTTATGACTACGGTGAAAAACTTAAAATATGGTTACAGATGATGTGAGATACAGACTAACACACAAAAATTATCTGAAATGTTGCCATGCTATTCTATACGTTTACATTGGCATTATGTCAACACAAGTCAAGAGAGTTGGAACTGGAACTAATCATAGTTATGTCCGAAACAACAAATGTGCCATAACGCCAGAACGCTTACCGTCGACAATCTTACACTCGCGTCACGGTCGCGTCAATGTGCGTTATTATTATACATCTGTCACTGCAAACGCCATAAGTAAGTAACAGCGTGCCGTAATTTTGTGGTATTTTACGAATTATTCTCAGCCTACCATATTAGGAAATGTGTTTTCCAAATATGGAATGACTACGGAGTAAGCGTCCTTTAATAATAAAAAGGCTGCCACTAGGATTTGACCGGACTCCACATGAAGAAGTTTGCTAAATCTGTTCTAAACGTTTTTTGAATTTCGGCATTCACATGCTTCCTGGAAGGAAAAGATGTATAATAATAAGGTTATTACGAGAATATAGCAAAGTATCTGTTGCGCGTCGGTCTATACTTCCGCTCGACTGTCTTCGTGCATACTTTGCAGTATCCTCGTAATAACCTCATTTTATGTGTATTGTTGAAGAGCAGCACTCATGCCATGGGTCGATATGGGTCCTGAGTGACGTATACAACGCGTGTGTAACAAACATTGTCTGTTTACACGGAATTCCATGCGCGTTGCACAACCGCTGTTGTTACTTTTTATTTACTTCACCCCAATATTATTTTGATCTTGTTAGGCTCCACCGATCAGAAAACTACTGGGTTTTGGACTGGAGGAAACGACATTGCTAGAGAAGGGATCTGGGTGTGGACCGGAACTGACCGCATAATTACCAGCTGGGATGCGTCCACGTACTCCACGGCGCCTGGGACAAACGCGCGCGTTCAGAACTGTTTAGAGCTCAATACGCAGTATCTAGAGGACCAAGACTTCCGTTGGAGGGCCAGTCGGTGCAGTGTGCAGAAGTATTTCATTTGTGAATTCAGTACTCAACAAATCATAGAAGGTGGGTTGCATCACTAATGCGCATGTCCAATAATCACACCCGCCAGCGGCGAAACGTTTCTGTGACGTCAAAATGACGTCTCTTGTGCCAATTTACGTCACAAAAGCGCGTCATCATAAAGGGGTGCGCCTTACCGTGTATTATATGACAATTGTGACTGTATTGAAAATAGGGTGATATGTGACAATTATATCATGTTCATACTTGGTATCTAGCTAATAGTAAATATTGAAAAAATATACCGTATAGACGAACGTTCATTTAAGGTACAGATGCAGTTTATTTGGCTTGTTTTTTAATTGAGTAATTAGACAATGAAGATGGTATTATATATCCAACATGTTATATATTTTCTGAAAGCTTATTATACAAACTTTGTAAAACTTGTCTTTATTTTAAATATCCAGAATGCGTTTTTAATTTTGGGTCAAAAATATGCTTTTTTGGACAAAAGTGGTTTTAAAAAAATAGCTTAAAAACTTCAAGTCCGTTTGTGGGTAAAATTGCATCACTGGATACCTTGGTATAATACTACTAATTCAAATGCGTCCACTCATCTCTCTAACGGCTTTCAAAGTCGCACAGCATGACCTCAAATTTCACTCTTTTCTATTTTTGCATAATTTATATATCCATGTTAATTGCGGACTTGTTATTTTTGTTCCACTCTCCGTAATAAACTATCCGGACGCATTTTGAAGGGGGAACACCTTGTCAATAATGTGTGAAAATTTCGAGGCAAATGGCCAAAGCGTTTATCAGCTATTTTAATTTAAACCCCAAAA